CCTTCCTTACCTAATTGAAGACGCTTTGCTGACACTGAAGAAGGGAACTTGTTTAACCACACTCACACAAAACTATGCATTCATTCATTCTCTTCAGTTCAAAGAATCGATTTTCAATTCCAAATTAGCAGGACCACATTGTAGCCCTCTTCGCAAGACTTTGAACACTCTGACTTTTCTTCCCTGGAAAATCACACAGTGAATTTCTCCTTGCCTGACATGTAAAGAAGCTTGTCTTAAGAAAACAACAACTCTGTGGGATCTTTATTACTTGACAATTGTTAATAGTTGGAGAACGTGGGCATTTTCTGCATCCAAACTCTCTCTCAAAGTGATCTCACCCAGTTTCACAGCTCTAAGTGCCATCCGCATGCTACTGTTACCAAGTGTGTGTCTTCAGCCTACTCTCTCCCCTAAACAACAGAATACACATCCAACTGCCTGTTCAAAATCTCTACTTTATTGACTGAGAAGCATCTGAAGCTTATCATGAGCAAACCAAAAACCTGAACTCCCTTCCCCTAAACCCCAGGCATTCCCCATTTCAGATAGTGTTACCAATACTCACCTAACTTTGGGCCAAAAACCAAAGAGGAATCCTGACTTCTTCCTTTTATTCACACCCAACATCAACTCATCAGCAAATCTTGATGGCTCCACCTGAATTTTACCCATTCTCATCTTCCCGCCTCACGTATCTCCATTATTGCTATGAGCTCCCAGAAAGCCTCCCTTCAGTTTGTTCTCTATGTAGCAGTCAGGTTGACACTGCAGCCCCTGAAATAGCGTTCAAGTTTCTTGCCATCGCCTAGCCTAAAGTTCCCACAGGATCTGGCTCCTGATTCTCTCTCTAACCTCGTTTGCAACCATTTTCCCCTCATTGTTGGAGCTCAGTCCCATAGGCCTTCTTGCTCTTCCCCAAACTTGCCAAGTACATTCCTACCCCAGGGCCTTTGCACTGGCAGTTCTCTCAGTGGAGGAAGCTCCTCCTACTCAGAGGCATGTGGCCACTCCCTGTCTCTTTCCAGGTCCCTGTCAATATGTCACCTCCCCAGAAAGAACTTCCCTGCTCATCCTATTGAGAGACAACTCATTGTAAGCCACTCCCCATCCCTTTGCCCTATTTCTTACACATATATGTGTTGTGTATATTGGCTTACTCCTTGTGTACCTCCTGCACTAGTGACTGCTATGTTTCCATGTCTGGCACACAGCAGGCACTCAATAAATATTTGTCAAATAAATGAAAGCAGAGCCCTGGAGGAAGGTATTATCTCTGGCACTTATTAGCTATTAACTTCAGGCTAAGCACACACTCTACCAAACCTCAATTTTCTGAAAATGATGATGAAAATAAGAATGGGGCATACTCTAAAAATTCTCAGTGTTTTGTAAGGGCCAGGCGAGACAATGTGTGCATGACACAGTCTTTCAATGTCAGTCATACCATCCTTAAAGTTGTATGCCCCTCTCTGTGTTTTAGGATCCAGAATGAGTGGGAATCTTGGTCCGTTTCCTATATTGGGGCATCTTGTGTGAATCATTTCAACATCCAGAAATCAAAAATGCTCCCAAAGAGCTGCTTCTCTATTATTCACTAATCATTAACTTTGCCAACTGTACAGGATCTCGACTACCCAAATTGCAGCCAGTTGGCACTCTGTGTTTCCAATCTTTATTTTTATATGTCTCACTGCATGTCTATTTATTCCTAAGCCAATATACATAATATAGTAAATAAATCATACTTGTGTCAGTATAAATAATAAAGAGCTATGCACGTGTGATGGTTAAGTACATGACTGCCCCAGGCTCACCAGCAAGCATGTTTTACAAACCTACATCAATAAAATGTAACAAATGCTTCCATTCTAAATGCTCTTTGGAACAGTTCCTACCTTGCCTGTACATGTTTTACTTATTTATTTTCCTTCCAACAATAAAACAATCAGTGACAGCCTGCTAGTTTTTTCCCCTTTATTTGAAAACACACTTAATAATACATTCTTTTACAATGATTTTGTGTCACACAAAGCAAAGCTTAATGTGGCCAAATAAATAGTGGTCTGGATGTCAAATCAGGCACAGCTCTCAGAGAGTACAGGGCAGGCCTCTTTTTGGGACTGGCAGCCCAAGGGAAATGGTTTGGATATTCAGTAAGCTGAGCCTGCACCTGTTCAGCAAAAGAAACCTCAGTAAATTTACATGACTCCTAGAGTTAGTGGTGATGGGCGATGTTGTTAATTTAGTCTGAAAAACAGAGATGTGATTTCAGAGAAAAGAGACTTTGCAGATGCACCATTTATCCTAAACATATAGCCCTCCCCATACCTCCCTAGGCCTGGAAAATGAGGGGGCTGAACTCCCTGTTCGCTAAGGTCCTCTCTGGTTCATACATATTTGGTTCTCTATGGTTTGCTTTCACATTTTCTTCCAGCTGGCTCATTCAGAAGGGAGCTATTAGTGTCAAGGGCGGAATTTGGATGGAATTAAACAGCTCCCACTCCACCTCACCTTTCTCTAAGCCCCATCCCATCCTGCCGGAGATGTTTGTGCTCTTTCTTGATAGCTCAAGTATTGAAGCAAAAATCACTCTCCCATAATATTCTCTTGTACTGTTAAAAGTTATAGTTTCCACATGCATTTCCTGCCTCCCCAAGAGGACCCATATGTAACTTCCAAGTTCATTCAATGGTGAACCACCTCTGCCAGCCAATAACAGCCCATACCCCTTCCCAAGGTGCAACAGTGAGGGATATTAATAAAGGAAATTATTAGCATGGTCCCTGCCCTTAGGGACTTGCTTACCTGCAGGGTATCCTACACCAAAAAAAGAAAGAAAGAAAGAAAAAGAGTCACAAAGAGGTTTCCCTAGAAATTGCTAAAGTATATAAATTCGGAGCCTGAACACTGTTTGTCTTTTCAGCCTTATTTCCCATTCAGAATCCTGCCTTTCACATCCTATTCCATTAAACTTTAGCTGGCAAACTTACACCCAAGCTAATCTCTGCCTAGAACATCCTCCACCCGCTGCTTTCCTAAATCCTACCCCTTCTTAAAGGGCCAGCTCAAATCCTTCCTCCCAAAGGTCCTCGTCTTCCCTGAGCTGGACACTAAAGCAGTTGAGCTGGGATTCAGATTGTGCCAGAACAGAACCTGAACCTGGGCCCTGACTTCCTTAAATACTTAAGGCTTATTGCTACTTAGGATAGTGGTATTGAGGCCATTCATCAAACACGTCAGGATAATGGATTATGATTGTATATTAATTTCACTCACTAACCTTAAGCTTCAGGTCTGTTGTGTTTGTTGATTTTTTTTTTTCTTTTTGGCTCATTGGTTTAGAAAAAATTAGGAAAAGCATTTCAAGGAGGCTGTTTTTGGTTTGATGTCATGTAGGACATGCTGGACAGTGGCAGGGGCAGGGCCAGATCAAGGCATGGACTTATTTCATCAGCTGAGATACCACATCTATGCAGGTAGTAGTGACTCATAATTCATGGACAAAGTCCCATAATAAAGGCCCTGTGACAGCTGATGCCTCCTCTTCAGAATTTGTATCTCTCAGAATTTGATAGTTCCAAGTCACTGCATTTTCACCTTTTGAGAGATGACTTTAGTGTCCCAAGCAAGCAGCTCCTGACTCACCCGTGAGCCCCATAGTGCCTCCTTTGGCCCTGAATCCCTGCTGCAGATGTGCTTGGCCACTGACCCGACCTACCTAGCCAGGGTGGACTCACACTGGCTGTTGGTAGCTGTGGAAGACTAATGGGCATTTTTATTTTAGTAATCCAAGACAGCAATAGAGAGGATATCACTCTCCAGGTGGCCTGATTCTTAACACCCCCTACCCCGTAAGACCTGAGTGCTTCCATTAGCAGGACAACATGACTGTCTGTTTTGGGTCCATTTCTGTGGTTTGCTTGTACTCTACTCTTTATGAAATTTACTCCACTGTGATCTTAAGCCTATTTTCTCCCCCCAGAATATGTTGGCTAGAATAGTAATCAAAAGAAAGGCTTTGAACTGCCACCAGGCCTTTCATCTTGTGATCCCAGAGAGCTTTACCAAGCATTAAATAATTAATGTACTGAAAGCGACACAAAGACACAAAGACAGGGCAGCCTAGAAAACCACATCCACCAACAAAAGACCTTTTTCTTTTGGAGTGAGAGAGTCCTTGTAGGGATAATCACCAGCCAGCAGGCCCAGGAGTCTCTGGACATGTTGGACAAGAGGCTACAAACTATCCAAGAGCAACTGGATCTTCTCTTGTCTTGATGTTTCAGGTTGGGAAGTAACAGTTGCCAGGATGACTCCTGAAATCATGCAGTGAGTGCCCTGGAGAGTATGACTCACTTTCACAGGAAGAGGGGAGCTTTAGTGTGGAAGAGTGGATTCTAACTGTCTACACATTCACCACAACTTAGGGCTCCTTGATGCCTTTCAGAGGCATCTACTTTTGTGATCCTTACAGCGACCTTGGCAGTTAACCTCTTTTACAGATGAAAAGATTGAGGCTCAGGAAGCACAAATGCCCAAGGTCACATTGCCAGTGAGTACTACGATGGGATGTATGACTGCAGACCTCTGATGTGTGGGCCAGCTAGGAATGCCACTCTATGGCCACCTTTGCAGGTGATGATTCTCCTGGAGAACAGAGATTGGGAATTAAATACAGCAAAATGAAACTGCCAGGTCATAGATGCTTGCTGCATTCTCTTAACTGAGGACAATAGATCCCTTCGGGTCAACCAGGAAGTTGACCTAGAAACACACACCTTCCATCAGGGCAGCTAGCTCTGCGGGGCCTCAGGCTCAGCCATGACTGTCTCCATAGCAACCACCACAAGGCCTGATGCCTGGATCCTTGAAATTGGTCCTTGGCTGGTCCAAGGGAACATGCTTAGGGTGAGGGGAGGAAGAGAGACAGAACAGTTTCTTTTAACTTCCAGGTCTTTCAATCCCTCTTTATGTGCTTGTCACCCCTCTCATTTCAGGATAAAGAGTCTGTCCTCTAAGAAGCCCAGCTCCAGATGCCACATTACTCAGCACAAGGGCCCTTCACCATGACTAGACTCATTTCCACAGCTAGAGAACCGTGTTCTCAGGTACAGCAATGTTACTGCGTGACCTTGGGTAAGCTGCTTAGCCTTTTTCAAGCTTTGTTTCTCTGCATATAAAACAGAACTCATCATGCTTTCCCAGCCAACTTTTGAGATGCTCAGAGAATTAATGAGACAGTATCTACAAAGCCCTCAGGCTCTTTTGAAGAAAAATACACTAGAAATCCTTGTGCTTTTACTAGCAGGCATTGGCATGATGCTATATTTTAAGTCACTCTTCACCTGTTTTACTAAAATAAACTCAGCTTGTATTAAAATAGACAAGCCAACAGCCCGATTGGCTTCATCCTACTCTGGTGCTGCGTCACCTTGTTGCTTCCATTCATCTTGGACTGTTAACAATGGTGGTCAGTGTTACCCTTGACCTTGTGTAGAGACTCAGAGTGGGGGAGCTGGGGGAGCTCTGAAGACTATTTATCAATGTCTTCCCATCACACATGCGAGGAAGCTTGTGTGATCAACCTTCCTGAAACACAGGAGGAAACAATGCTTCACCCAAAGTCATCTCATTAGTGAAAAATCACAAAATCTGATCTTCTGTTCCCCCATTCTGTGCCTCACCCACCATGGAAGAAGGCAGCAAAGAAAGGAGGAGGGAGAAGAAGTAGGGAGACATGGTTTTGCTCTTTAAACCTGTAAGCTGCAATATTCTGGATGTCAGGAAAAAAAGAAAGAAACCAGTACATGTGTGCCCATTACACACGGTGCCCAGTCCCATTCTGGGGGCTTTATAATCGTTGTCCCACAAATCCCACAGTTTTCTGAGTGGGGGATTTTTATTCCCATTTTTGAATGAGGAAACTGAGGTTCAGAGAGGTTGAGTAACTTGCCCAAGGTTCCAGAGCCAAAAGGGATGGAGCTAAGATTAATTCATTCATTCCATTTCTACTTACTGAGTATCTTCTATGTGCCGAGCTCTGCCCTTGCCAGTTGGGCTGCATTAGTGAGCAGAACCCCACACTACCCTCTTAGAGCTTCCAGGCTGAGGAGCTTAGAGTGTGGCAGGCAGCAGACAGCAGTCCAACAACCTCTCAAGTCCTTTTGACGTCTTGATTTTATTATGCATTGTGAAGGAGATAGACACAACCCTCTGAGAATATACAATGAGGGATTTGACTTTATTATGAGGGCCAGGGGAAGATTACCTGAGAAGCTGATGCATGAGCTGAAACCCTTAACTAGATGAGTAAAGTTAATGAGTTAAAGGGATTGGGATATGGATATGGTAGGAGGCTGGAGGGGGCAGGGGTCTATTTAAACTCAAGTCTCTCTCAGAACAGAGCACCTGCTCCTTATTTTCCACTAAGGAAGGTGAGGCATTACAGAAGAACCTCAATGTATGGCCCAATCACACTGCCACTGTCCAGCAAGGAACCCCTTGGAGATGACATTGACTGCAATGGAGAACAAGGACATAGAGTTAAACACAGCAGAAAGAGTGTCCAGATTACAGACGCCTGCTTCCTTCTCCTAAAGATGACAGATCCTTCCAGATCATCCTAGAAGGCCACCTAAAACTGCTACCTAAAATGGCTCTGCCCTGTGACAGGACTGATCTGACTTGCCAGGGACCCTCCTGCCTTTTCTCGGATGCTCAGTCTGTTAGCCAACTTCCCTGCAGAGAGGGGACCTGGAATCCAGCCACCAAAACCTTAGCCTCCCCTTTGCTCTGAAATCTGAATTGCCTTCTGGAAAAGTGAAGGATTGAAACTGCCCCAGGAATTCTTCTTGAAGCCATCTGGGTGTCACTAATAAGCCCTGGCTTGCCTTCCCTGCCCTTTCGCATGGCCTGGGCCAGCAAAGTCAGAGCCTCTCTCTTGACTTTGCTTTAAAAATGAGGCACAGAGAGGCAAAGAGGGAGGGGGGAGCAGGGAAAGAGAGAAAAGAAGAGGGAGGAAGAAGAAGGAAGAGGCAGTAAGGAGACTCCTGTTAAGGAATGGAGCTGCAACAAAGAAAGGAAGGAACGTGGAGGGGGAAGGTGAAACCATCTGATATTTTTCACTGTCTGGAAGTTACCGAGAGAAAGTTATTCAAAGTACCACTGTAAAAAGGCCATAAAACACCTTGGGGAAAACATGAAAGTCACGCTGCCACCATACAGATGAGCACCCTGGAATTAGCTGCCACAGCGATGTCTAAAAAGAGGAAATTCAATGGCCCACATTGCAGCCTCCTTCCCACTCCCTCGCAGCTCCCACCCCTCCAAATCGCGGGGCTCTGAAGGCAGAGGCAGTAATTTGGAGCTAGCAAGTGTGAAGGAACGTTGAAGCTGTTATTTGCCTTCATGCAGCACATCTTGAGTGCATCTTTTAGAATATAATTTAAAATACACTTTCGGTTTTACTATAGAAAATCTGGAAAAAAAAAAAACCAAGAAGGTCTAAAGGAGAAAATAAATATCACCGATACCTCCAGCATCCAGAGAAGCCAGTGTTAACATTTTATGGTATATTTGTTTGTGACTTGGTTTTCACTCACTTAACACGACAGCACTTGGCTAAGAAGTATATTGAGGAGAAGGGGAGGAGAGCGTTCCTCTGCACCCATGAGATTTGTCTACAGGGCAGAGAGGGGAAGTGGTCCTTGGAAACCACCAAACAGCTTGCACCCTGGCACACAGATGCTGAAATCATGGCAATTCAGATGCCCTCAGCCCTGGGCAAGGACCTGCCATTAAATGCAGCACAGGCTTGGAGAAAGCAAAGGCTATCCTCAGGAAGGACAGGCCTATGGGGGTTTTGGAGCAGCTGGGATGCGAGTGCAGGATAGACCAGGAGGAGGCAGGTACACTGTGGTGTGTGTGTATCCTCAGCATGAGTAGACAGAGGGGTACGCAGATTCTGCTCTGGTAGGCACCTTGCAGAAGCCATAAGGACCAAAGACTATATAGAATGATGGTGTTATGTAAGTGCTTGAACCTAAATAGTAGGTGCAGTGCATTGATTGTATGACTTGGAAAGGCTAAAAAAAGTGGAATTCCACCTCATTCTCAAAGGAACAGCCAATGAAAGTAAACAAGAGATAGAGGGATAGAGTTCTATCTCTGTGGCCAGCGGCACACCCCACAAATATACGGGCTCCCAAAGCCCTTTCATTTAAGCCTTTGATCCTCATAAAGGTTTGCCAAAATACAAAAAACAAATCCCAACTGACACAAGAGGAAAACAAAATCAGAGAGGTGAAGTCAGTGCTTCCTAACCTTTTTTCATATCGTGATACACACAGAAAATGATAATACGTATACGATCCACTGGAGTAAACAGCTAAGGTTGCTTGCAGTAAAAGGCAACTGGCCCGAGGGCTTCTGCACTCCTGGTCTGGACTAGCTTCCCAGCGTGCAGACAGGCTCCATGGGTCAGTGTCTCTGCACACCTGTTGGCCAGCACACATGGGACCACAGCTCACTGCTGGAGAAGGAAACTCTGGGTCAGGAGATGTGGCCACAGTCACACAGTGGGAAGCAGAAGGATGTGCTGTCACCCTGCATCTTGCCCCAGGGACATTTCCACACAGCAATAGAGATGTTGGCCTCAGAAAGTTTCTGGTGCTTATAGCCAGCACGGTGTCACCATTCAAACAAACCAGGTGACATGGGTGAGTAAGGCCTTTGAAGTTTGATCTGAGAGCACCTCATAAAGTTTCCTTAAAGCATTTATAACTGTCAATAGACTTCCCTAAAGAAAAGGGGTAAAACTTGGCTCCCTTCTCTACTCAGAGAAATTCAGAAAACAATTTCACAGGATGGTTATTGAATAGCCAAAAAGTAATGATTACAAATGACTGAGTTAAAGTGCTGTGCGTAGCCTCATCTGTCATCATACGAGCGTCTTATCAGAAGTCCTATCAGGATTAGGGGCTCATCGTGTCTAGTGACATTTGCCAGCCGAGATGGCTCAGCTCCCTCCATGTCCCCTTCAATCATGGTGTCAGGAGAAGCCTTCCAAGGTTTGAGCATAAACTCTGAGAAATTGCTTTTGGCAATGACTCCAGGAGCGGCTTTCAAGATAATGGACTCTTCTTCTGCAAGTGGCACTCTATCTCCCCGAGACTTCCAGGGTCTTTCTGTCACTGGAGATTCTGGGCAGCATCAGGACATGATGGGCCACTGGCAATAGGTATAACAGAAACTAAACCTTCTGGCCTGTTGAATTAATGATTATATTAGATACAGGTAGGTCAAACTCAGGGAGCACTTACATTAAACCTCTGGATGGAAAATGATAATATTTCCTCAAATCCCCTAATATCTCCAAATGTAAACCAAAGATTTATATTTTCATTTGGACAACAGCAATCCAGCCCAAGAAAACCAGTTAGAAATAGACATTAAAGATATTTGGAGCAGGTGGATGAACCATGGGCTAACTGGATAATACTACATCTATCTCCTATAATTGTGCACCAAGAACACCCCTGACTCCTTGGGAGTTTCTGTCAGTGACCTATAAAGATGCTGTAGGAAGATGAGGTCAATTCTCTGTTAATTTCTCACGCTCAGCAGTGGGAGGGGAGGAGAGGACTCCTCACTTTGCCCTGGGCCTTGGACACGGGGTAAACCCTGGTCATTTGTACAGAATGCATCCAGAGACTTCTGGAATCCTCATCTTCAAGAATATTGCTGTAACATATCATTACCTCATAAAATGCATTGCCACAATAGGCAGAAAACAGTAAATCATTCACTAAGTGACTCATAACCAAACCCAGCCTCATAGCATGAGATTTTTCAAATTCTTATCTCAGCAAAATGACAATGTATTACATATCATGTAATTTGGAGTCACTTGCAAATAGTGGAAACTGGGACTATTAAATCTGCCACTACCAAAAGTTGCTGTAGTCAGAATATGAGAGAGAACTAAAATCACATACAAAGGTGACTTTTCCACCTACCCTGGGGTCCCAGACTCTGAAATGGGTAGCGGGAGCCAAGAACTATTATCACAAACTCCAGAAGTTCCAGCCATGGCTTCCTCACTGTCCACACTTGTAGAACTGTGCAGTTTTCCTGCC